TGAGGTCTCGCTGCCTAGGCGGGTCTCGAACCCGCAGGCCCAGGCGATCCACTCACCTCAACCTCCCAAAGGCGCGGGATTACAGGCTGAGCCACCGAGCCCGGCTGGGTTAATACCTTTTTTGGGTGTGTGTGTATTTTCCTTATTATAAAAGTTACGTGCTAGGCTATTTTTACTTATAAACACAGATGTAAAAATAAAAAATAAAAATATAGGCAGCAACCACCAGACGAGAAGGCAAGAGTTCTTCCCTAGAGCCTTCAGAGGGAGAAGGGCCCTGCTGACAGCTTGATTTCAGACTTGTATCTTCCACAGCTGAGGGTGAATAAATTTCTGTTGCTTAAAAAAAAAAAAAGTGTGTATGTATATATGTGTGTGTGTATATACACATATATACCAGGGATGCCAAAGAAATGTCAACGCGTTTTACAAGATGTTAAGAGATGTTTGCTGTAACCAGCAGTGTGGATGCTGATGGTAACCACTCTGAGTCCCTCTCATAATTGCAGAAGTCAAGTGTGACTTATGTTCAAAACTGGTACATATCGAGTATTAGAATTTTAATACAGTTTTTTTCCTTAATGTATGCCAATAACAAAAGATGAATACAAGTCATGTTTGACTTCTGCAATTATGAGAGGAGCTCAAAGTGGTTGCCATCAGTGTCCAGACACTTCTGATTACAGTGAATTACAGTGAGTTACAGTGAATTACTGCAGGACTTGGCGCTGTGCGAGGCCTCCTGGATCTTCCTTTGTGTACATTCCCTTAAGTACCATGAGTCTTAAACTCATAATGAATGCGTGCGATTGTTAGCCATGTAGGAAGTACTGTTGCATACTCACACCTCCATTGTTGTTGTACTTCCACAACATTCTCTATTTTCAAATGCAACTTCAAAATGGTCTTGCGCTCCTGGAATGACAGCTGTGCTCCCATCATTTTCTTTGACTGTCCTGCCTGTTGCATGGTGACACTAGCGTTCACTTAATGCTATCTTTTGCGCAA